AGATTAATACAGGTTGAAAATTGCGATCACATAAGTATCAGCTGATTAACATATCCACTCACATAACTCGTTACGTCTATGTGATAGTAATGTTGATGTGATATAACGAGCCGTACACAAGCAATTTGATAAAAAAAATTCATCCATAACGGTCATTCAATAGGTCGCTCGACAAATCTCGTTCATCTCGTGAAGGACAAATACCTTTTTTCGAGATAATATATCTCATTTTTTTTTTCAACATAAGTCTGCGATAAATTAATATTCCTCGCGTATTTAGCACCATTCAATGGATAACAGAGCACATATTATGGAATTATTTGGAATGAATTCCGATTCGAATTATTCGATTATTCCCTAGATTTCTATTAGAGCTGTTACATTTGACAACTTCGAAAGTTTGAAGCTTTGAAATAATTAACTGTCGAAGTTTATATGTATATATATAAAATGTGCTTTTGAAGTTTCGAAATTCAAAGTTAAACTTTGAACCTTCGAAAAATATATTTATACGAATAGAAAAAAAATGAAAATATATTTGTGATGAATTTGCATATTTTTTATGAAAAAATATATTTGTTATTATTAACTACATTAAATTAATAATTGTATAATTTTTATTCTTCAAAGATTGAAGCATCGAAGGTGTTTCGAAGGTTCGAACATTCGAAGCTTCCATCATTGAAGTTTTTAATGTCGGAGCTTCGAAATATACCAGTCCTAATTTCTATTGTGTTTTTAAGAGAAAACGGGTAGGAATCCATTCCAAACAGTTCCACAATACGTGTCTAGAGCAATTAAGAATGTCGGAAACGACTGACATTAATCGGAAATAATGGTGATACGGCGGAAGGGTGGAGTCATGGTGAGAGGCGCCGAATTACGTAGAAAGTTGCGAGCATATAATGATTATTGCCCTCCGTAAAGGAGTGGAAAGTCAAGCTGCTATTTTTAACATGACACAATATTTGCGAATATGAAATCGGCGATCGTACGGGCGAGTCTTCAGCAGCAACAACGTGTGCACGTTGATTCTGTTGAAACTGTCAATATATAGACAGCGGGATGTATATTCAACGCCTCAGGGATATTCCGGGATACGGGTGTGGGAAATTTTACAGAGAATATCGCGGCGGTACATGTATACTTTGTTACAACGTAAAATTTGATTGTCCCGTGGAATTGTATATTTGAAGTACAAATTCGACGATCAATAGTTCGAAAAGCCGTTTGCAAAAATCCGTAATTTTATCTGCGTCATTTTGACCGATGGGGACCCCGTAAAAAAAAGAGAGAATATTTGTGTGCAAAATGCGCGCTTATAAAACAGCGTAAAATTATATATTTAAATATCAATTTTTTCAAATCATAAGGGAGAAAGTGTATATAAAATATGCATTGCGTATCGCTGTACACATATATCCGCGTTGCTTGTTTATCACCCAGAATACCAGCAGTGCATACACACCAAAATTAATGCGGGGAAAATGTTATGTAACAGCGCGACATATAATACACACATTGTATTCTACGCCGAAAAGATCGATCATTCGAAATAATTCCGGCGCAACATGTACATATGTAATATCGAGGATATTATCAGAAAAGTATACTGAGAAAAAAATGATTGCAATATAATTTAGCTATAATCTGTAGTCATTTTTTGGGACAATTTTAATATATTTATAATTATTTTAACCATATAGTCAATATAATCAATTGTGCTATTAATAATAGTCACACACATGCATCGTTTAAAAATCTTTAGTTTTTCTGAACATATCTTTTAGTTATTATTGCCATATAAATAAATAAGTGAATTTAAGAAAATGATTTGTATTCATTATAATTGCAACTGTATTTACTGAATAAAAATGTTTATTTTATTTACCATTTATATCTTGATATTTTACTATATTAACATTTGAAATCACAATTTATAGTACAATTTTTTCATATTATATGAGAGAACTAAATATATAATTATTATTACTAACATTATAGTAGTAATAATCACATTTATTTTATATATATACTATCCAATTATAGTCACATATACCAAATACTTTTTTCTGAGTGCGACGACCGAGGATATCGAAGATACGTTAGATTAAGGCAACGAGGTCGCGTGCCACCGGTGGTGGCAGAATGGTTATACGCGGAGATGTTAGAAAATTGTAGCTTTCGACATCCATCAATCAGGAAGCAGTGAATAATCATTTTTGGATATCGTAAGACGCTGTTATCCGACGAGATTATTAGCTTCATGACGCGGTATTTCTTTCTTTAATCGGCGAGCGTGAATCGCTGATGTTGCATCGATATTATGTGTGTATCGCGTTGAAGAATCACGAAGATGAAAGAAATATATAAAAATTTTACGTTACGAAGTATTAAATTTTTGCACAGGATTTTTCATATTTGTCAAATAGAATTAAAAATAAAACCGGAGCAATATTGCTCCATCGCACAATGTCACGCATTTCTTTTTTCATCTGAAATATTTTTCGTTGTTCTTTTTAAAGAACTTTCTAATTTTAATATAAACTGGTTGATAAAAAACGATAAATTTATTGCACCAGTCTCCAATTTACAATATAATATCAAGTCGTATCTTCGAAAACGCATCGTCAAAAAATTGCTACGTAAAACGCTCGGAAATTATTTCTTTATAATTAGTCATAATTACTCTGTTTCTCGTTAATGATAACATCATTTTTGGATAATTATCTGCCTTCTTCTGTTCGGTTCACTCTATATTAAGAGAAAAGTGTTTGATATTTGTGACTATATAATTGCATGGTAAAATAATTATGATTAAGACCTCTATTTTTACTATAATGTTAGTAATAATTTCATTTATAGTTATACCAAAAGATATATAGTTGGAATAAAAAATGATTACAAATTCTAGTTAAAATATGATAATTACAATTATTTTTTTCTCTCAGTGTACACTGAAAAAAAAACTAAATTTCAATAAATATTTGTTTGAGTTCTAAGTAAATATTTACATTGTAAACATATTTATTTGATACAAAAACCATTAAATCATTTTTTATTTAGTAAATATTTGTTGTAAGTAAATGTTTACTTAGTACTATTCAAAGAACCATATATATATATATAAACATTAAGATTTAATAAATTTTTTTTCAGTGACCCACAGTCTCCATAGTAAAACCATGAATGCCGGTGAAACAGGGATGCAGCATGCGGATGCAGAAAACGGACCGACGGAATGGACACGACGAGCAACACAGCGAACGATGAACGATCGTTAATCACATCATCAATAAGTTCGTCGTGACCACCTATTAAATATGGAGGCGTAGAATCGGCCAGGGGCTCTTTGTACCGGTTAGGAGCGACATAATCGTGAATCTCTCGCGATTAGAATCGGATGCCAAGTGTGCTAAGTATCCTAGAATGTCCCTGTACGTCGCCTGCACCGGGAACACCTTCGGTATGAGTATAACGAGCCTCGGGTATTTTACCTTTTGTGCAGAGAAACTCATGGGACCGACTGCTGTATTCAAATCACGCAGTTAAGGTAGGAAACTCGCGTGCAGCAATTAACCCATTTATCGGACCTAACATGAGGTAAATATTAAGCAACGGGGGAGAGAAACAATTGCCTTGGAATATAGATCCCATGAACGGATTCGTCAACTTTCTAAAAACGAGCGTTTCGAACGTTTGACTGTAATTAGAGTCGTTTAATGTCACGTAATCACAGTGGATCGTATTTTAACAACTTGAAATCGACTTGTGTGACTCGAAGATAAAATGAAAAAAACGGAACACTTCTGTATATATTTGAACAAGTAAGTCGAATATTGAATAAGTAACATATGCGAGTTTAGAAAGACATATATGTATATAGAAATGAATAAAGATTATCATTTTAAGATAATTAGTAATTAATAAAATATTTTATTATAATTTATCGGTGATTCAATCTATGATGATTTAGAAATCGGTTTCGAAATTTGTTTAAAAATAATTTGAACTCGTTTAGAACTATTACATATACATATACTTAATTAGTGCCAGAATAAAATTCCATTTATAATTTATATGTTGTATAATAAATAAAATAATAGAAAAATTAGAATACACATAGCAAATAATAATTTTTAATATATAATAATATAATAATTATTAATTATTAATATAATAATTATATTATACATATTATAATATAAGTATATTATAATATGTATAAGTTTTAAGTAATTATGTTACATACATAATATAATATAAATAAATTCTATATTAATTATTCAATTATTTTATTAATTATAAATTTTACCTTAAAATTTGAAGCAAATTGTTGAAGATTGACTAAAGTGAGCGTCTTAAAATTATTTTACAAACGCCAGATAAAAACACAATTAATCGATATCATATATAAAGCGAGATTTTTAAATGTTCAACAAAATTTCTTGCGTAGTAAGGATTTCAAAATCATATTTTTGTAAATCGAAACTAGTATTCAATAATAAAAAATTTTTCAAGATTTCTTCTATACAGTTTGAAACATTACCTTCGTAAATATCCTTCGCATTCGCACAACATAAACGCTATGATTTCGAAACACCGTCGTCATCGCAAACGCAGCATACCTCGTTTAAATTCATTGAGTATAAATAGCAGTTAACACGCTCAAATAACCCTTCCATTATATAAATCTTACGATCTATATATCACGCAAGGCATACGAAACGACGCTGCACTAATGACGTTGACAGCACGAACGCAACAAATGATTGAAGGGAACGTCACAAGCACGAAGAAAGAGATCCAGTCGTTCAATAGCGAACGAGATACAAAAGCAACGCCCAATCGCGTCACGTATATCAAAGCAAGTAACCGAATGGCGCGACCAATCGCTCGGTTTCGTCCGCGCCTCGCGGCGAACTTCAGCCTGCGCCGCGTCTAATAAACCGCCACGTTCATGGAGAAGGTAGAGGCGCGAGGTCAGCGGTGACGGCTCGATTCAAATCGGCCGCCCGCGCGATGCGGCCAATCGCCGCGCGGCGCCGCGGTGGTTTGCGTCGCGCGTCCGCCAATCGTCCGTGATGTTGTACGCGAGGTTCGTCGCGACATCGCGCCGCGTCATCGAAATACGGTCGTTCGCGCTCCCTGGACCGCATGGAGGGTCCAGACGCACGGTGGGCGATCGCGCTCTCAACCGCGGTCAGGTATCGCGTGAGGACCTGCGCGAGAATTACCTGAGAATGCTCGAAAAGTGCAAGTGTGAGTAAACATACTTGTGGCTGTGGCTATGCTGGGCCATACCAGTGTCGCGTCGATCGCGCGTCATTTGCGTGCTTGTGTCCTTCGCGTGCGTATGTGAATGTATTCGTGCGTTTCGTCACGCGCGAAGGGTGCTGCGCATGCGCTCGGCGCGTTCGATATATCGATAGGGCACGTGCGCGCGCGCGACCTTGACATGGCGCGCATGCCGAGCGAATTATTGGCACGCGGATCGATCGTCCTCCCTGCGAGAGTGACGACGTACCGTTACGTGTCTTCGCTGCGGCGAAGCCGCGACGGGATCTGATTGACTCTCTCGAGCACAAAGTTCTAATAAGAGACGCATGCGATTACGTGTGAAACGACATACGGCGAAATCGTCACCGAATGGCTGGTCGCCAAACCGTCACTCGAATACACGTGTCCGAGAACACTTGAATTAGCGACATTAGCACAATTATATAGCTTTTGCCTGTTGTTTACGATGCATTCTTGAAGAATATTGTTCGTCAACTACATTTTCACTGTTCTTTTTAGCAGGAAATTGTTAGAAGATAAAAATTCATAATACTGTACCTAAAAATTCAAAAAGAAAAAAATGGCTTATTCTATTAATATTTTAACTTAATGCGATCTGAAATGCAGATTGTTCCAATTAAAAACATGTAAGGTCCTGTATACAATGGAAAATATTAGAACAAAAATGATTTATTAGATGAATGTAACAAAAAAAATGTGGAAATAAATATATATTCATTTTATTTGTATCTATTGTGTGTTATTTCTATATAAATATATATTTATATAGAAATAACACACAATAGATACAAATAAAAAAGATATAAAACAATCTATGGTTGCGTTCCGATATTCGCTGCGCACTGAAAATTTATGAGTGAGCTCCGAGTTACGTATGAAGCGCATGATGTATCATTTTATCCTTCTTTATTATTTAGTGAACAACAAGAACAAACGATGCATCATATTTGCGCTTTATGCGCAACTCGGAACGCACCCTACGTTATATGTTACATGCGCTATAGATTTTCAATACTGGCAGAATATCGGAATTCGCAGCCTTATAATATATCCCTAATAGCACACTTTATTCGAGGGATATTCTTAGGACATAGGGATATCCTCTGAATGTTCTTTGGAACGTCCCTTGGAGATGCTATTAGGGATGTAATCAGAATATGTCTTATATCTTATTCGTATCCATTGTGTACTTTACGTCCATATTCATTTCCTAATTTTTTCATTTCTAATATTCAATATTTATTTCTGTTTCTAATATTTCTTTCACTGTAGGGTCTAAAAAAATCCCCATATATATATTTCATTTATGAATAAAAGAGATAGATAACATAAAATATGATCTAGGAAAAACGCTATTTATTTTACTTGTTTTGTTAATAAGAGGTTGGTTCATCGTTTGCTCTTAATACACATTCTATCGTTGTTGAAATAGTCATTCAATAAGTATTCTATCTTGAATAGATCTAATATTTTACTATCGCTTTAATAGAATATCTTTCAATTGCTTATATAAATGATATTTGAGGAGAAAATTTTCTTCTCATTTTTTATTTCCTAAAATAACTCTTTATTCTCCAAAATTTCATCGTCTTTCCTGATCAATGCCTGATTTAAATATCAATTAACATATCGTTACACATTTTGTAATATTTGTGATTTTGAAGCGCAGAATGAGAAACAACAGTTTTCCAAGAGACGTCCTTATTACGTCTTTAGGACGTCTTTAGAATGCCTTTAGGTCTCTTTTGAGAACTGTGTTGTGCAAGGGATTTTCTCCTTCAATATCTTTTAAGCAATTAGAAGACTTCTGCTAGAAGAATGGTATAATATAAAAGGAATGGTTGCACTGCAGCAGTTGCTACCCTATTCAACTCTATTTTAACAAGGATAGAATCTATAGATTTAAAGACAAATAATGGTTCAACTTTTTATTAATAAAACAAGTAGATAAATACTTCTCAGACGTTCACGTTATTTTGTTAATTTATTCTCCATACATATACATGTAAATAAATACAAGCGGTGCATATCTTATCGCTTGTAATTACAGAAATTAGCGAATGTATATTATTTATAAATTTGCGGAGCTTCGATAAATTAAAGAAACGGGAGGCATGCCAGGAGAAAAAAAAACGGACCGATGCACATTCACATAAATTTGTCGCGGGTGCGAAGAACACAGTAAAACGTAGCCTCACGAAATTTCAATATTAAATTCCCGTGTATCTCCGGCCGCGTTGACAAACTTACGAGCCGTAGCCTGTATTTATCGTCGCAATTGGACGGCCCGTGAGATAACGACGTGCCGAAGCCGCATCGAGCAAGTTATTTGAGCGAGCGAGTGAACAGGAAAAGTACATAAATTATTGATGAGGATATCCGCCGCGTCTCTCGACTCGCCCAACATTCCCGCTCGTCCGTCTTGATTAATTACTCCGCTGACGAAAAGCAGCGTAAGGAGGGCGGCCAAAGAGCGGATTAGATTTTAGATCGCGGAGATCGGTCTCTCACGGCACAGACGAGAGGAGGCGACGAATGTGCCGGGCAGAAAAATCTAGGACAGTGAAAATCGGCCTGTATCGCGCGCATCTATAGAACGAAACGGGAGCACCGACGCACAAATTGATCGCCAGTTAGGTCTGGAGGAGTAATAACTGTAGTTCATTCCAATCGAGGACTCGAGCTCGCGCGAAATTAAGATCGGATGCGAGCGATACCGATCCATTTCCAATTCTCGGAGAGGCACAAAGCCGCATCCTTCATCGCGCCGTTCGACTCTTATCACGTTAGACAGGGCTGAGCATGTATTTGAAATACTTTTCTTTGATAAACAAAAGTTAAGAGAGTTGTAAGACAACTGTATTTTATATTTTGTATTTCAGTGGAGTATATGCAAATTCTGTATTTTGTATTTCAAGGAATCATATGAAAGTATTTTATATTATAAATATTAGATTGACAATTAATCTTGCTATTTGAATTACAAAATACAAAAAACTTTTAATCTTTCGATTTTAAATACAAAATATTTTCATGTGCTCTGAAATATAAAATACAAAATATACTTGTATTGCAAATACTGTGTTTTAAATAAAAATATTTTAAATACATGTCCAGTCCTTAGATGTTTGATTAGATGCTGTGCATCTTTTTCTTTTCTTCCCGAATTAATTTTCAATGTCGTAATTTTATAGCGAAGAAATTGCCGCAAGATGTGAATCCCAAAGGCGTGTTTGCCTGCAACGAGCTTGACTTGAAAGAGGTCCAAGTCTATGGATTCGATTACGATTACACGCTGGCGTGTTACAAGCCATCTATGGACTACTTGCTTTACAGTCTGGGTCGCGATATGCTTATTAAAAAATTTAAGGTCTCTATTTTGTGATAAATTTGCTGATTAATCAAATCAATATGATATGATATGTATTATATATGCAATTCTTTCGCTTCTTTGGATAAAATCTAGAATCAACTTTTTGTAATAATGCAAAAAAATATAATTAAAATGTCTTTGGTCAAATATGTTTAATGATTAATAAAAGAAACGTATGTTGTATGTATTGCAAACCTTTTTCGTTTTCGAGAAAAACATTATTTAATTGTCAAAAATAGTTTGTGCTTTATTGAAAACTTTAGTAAAAGCTTTAGTTTCTGCTGAAAGAGAAAACAATTAAATGTGTAGAAGAATACATAAAGCTTGTCTTTTCATCTTAAAGGACAGCTCCTCAAAATTTCTCCCGAAATCAAAGGACAATTACAACTGATTAGAATTTCATCTTGAAGTTCACTCAAACTAGCTTAATTATTCCAGTATCCAGAGGGAATTGCCAATCTAGAGTACAGAGAAAATTTCGTTCGACAGCTTCTTGCAAATTCAATTGGGGGCCGTTTATCGTGGTTTGCATCCCGTACCCGATGAAGAGGTTCTTCGAATCTACAAGAACAGGATAATACCGATAGCTTATGTGGAGGCACCTCATAAACACTCTTACGTGAGTTCATTATCGAATAACGACGACAAAATGGGAGAATTAATGAATTATGCGTGGCACTTGAAAGCTTAATGCACACACATGTTTCTTCTTTTTAATAAGAAAACGAGCACTGCATGATTTGCTTAAAGCCAGTAAATTCAAGATATGAGAAGTACTTCACAATTTTTGAATATCGACAATATGATTTGTTGCATAACTGAACAACTATGCTTAATTATTTTTAATCATTTTTCTAAACACTAAAACATTTCTCGTCTTCTCTCTTTTTTATACCGTGGCAAAAAGAAGCAGCGACATTTTTCGTGATTTGTACGTTTTCATTTGTAAAGAGAAATCTTAATGTATTAAATGTCTCTCGTTCTCTGTTTTTGCATGTATCAACATGTGTGTTTTTGAACGATGAATTGCTTCAATCACGATATAGAAGGCAAGTATAATATATATTTATATTCGCGAAATATGTACATATATGTATTTTTTTTAGAATATTCTAAATTCTAACATTTATTTGTTTAGGATGCTGTACATCGCTCGAAAATGGTTCAATTAGCCGATTTGTTTTCGGTACCAGAAATATGTCTATTGTGTAACGTCACGGAGTATTTTCTACAGAATCACATTGATTATCATCCAGAGATACTTTTTAGAGACGTTAAGGTGAGCAATCAAAGTATAATCTTGCTAATTGCTATTGTAATGAATCTTATACGATATTTATAGAACTCTGTGCAAAGTTGCCATCCTGTAATGCATCAACTAGTAGTGGAAAATGTATCTGAATACCTAGAACAGAATAAAGATTTAAGGAGATTTTTCGATCGACTTCGAAATGCCGGCAAAAAGACGTTTCTGGTTACAAACAGTCCTTTTCATTTCGTGTATGTTTCTCAAGTATTGGCAATCTTAATTTAAACGAAATTTATTATGCATATAATAATTATTATACAATGGTTGACGTGACTTTTGCAGTAACAATGGAATGCAATTTCTGGTTGGCGAAAATTGGAAGAATTATTTCGACGTAGTAATCGTTCAAGCGAGAAAACCAAAATTTTTCACTGAAGAAACGCGCCCCTTGAGAATCTACGACGAAGTTAAACAGACGCAACTATGGGATAGAGTCACTAAACTCAACAAGGGTATCATATATCTCGAGGTAATTGTCTATTTTAATATTTAAAAAAATTATATATTTGTGATTATAATATGCTAAGTAATACTATATTTATTAACCGCGAAATACACTTAGGGAACAGTTAAACAGTTGCAAGATATGACCGAATGGCGAGGACATCAAGTATTGTACTTTGGTGATCATCCATACAGCGATCTGGCAGACGTAACTTTAGAACATGGCTGGCGAACAGGCGCAATAATAAAAGAATTGACGGTAATACACAATTTTTATTAATCTTTTTTGTATGAAACTAATTTGTTTTTAAAAGAATATTGATACACTGAATTTAATATAGATATGACCGTATGACATACAATACATAAATTGCATTACAGCACGAAATCGAAACCTTGAATGATCCGAAGTTCAAAGAAAACGCGAACTGGCTCCAGATGTTAACTGGTTTAATTGAAGAACATCAGGATTATGAAGGACCTGAAGTGCAAAATGAACTGGACGAATGGATGAGGGAACGGGATCAATTAAGAAACGAGATTAAATCTGTCTTCAACGAACAATTCGGCTCGGTGTTCAGAACATATCATAATCCGACTTATTTCTCTAGAAGACTGTTTAGATTCGCCGATATCTATATGAGCTCGATCACAAACCTATTAGAATACTCCACAAGTCATACGTTTTATCCTAGGAGAGGTGTAATGCCTCACGAATATACTAGTTATTTCGTATAAAATGTCTATGTTTTTAGAAATATTTATTGTTCTTATGTAAACGCTTTTAGGGCGTACAACCAAAATATTTTACAGAGAATAGTATTTTCGATGAGAAAAGTCCAATGTATTCAATGTCATAATATAAAGCCTTCATAATGTCAAGCCAACAGAAAATTACCAGTTCTGTTCACAATACTTCCGCCTTATTATTAGGTATGCATGCATAATTTACGTGTATATGCAATGTGTAATCTATATCGATCACCATTAATGCGCTTTTACAGCCGCGTAGTTACAGATAATCTGCATCGAAATGTAATGTATGTAAACGTGATAAAACGGACGGGCATAGAGATCACGAAGGCTGTTACGTTATTATTATTACCATGACAATAGCTGTATTATGTAAAATGAAGTTGTAAGGAGTAAATGTACAGAATAGGAAAAGTCGAGCGATTATACACAAAGTATTATTGAACTACGAAACTCATTGGATATTTTAAGATTTAATAATTAGAGTTTATTTTTCGTAAATGATATAAAGAAAAGAGATAATGTGCTTTTGTGTGTGTGCGTAATTAGAACGAGATATAACTTTTGAACAGTATATTAAAATTAAAATCATGTTGATACTCAATTATTTTTGTGCAAAGAGATTGTATATTTATCATTAGTGTATTATGAATTTAAAATTTAACTTGTAATATATATTTATGAATATGCTGTATATTTATATGAACAAGTGTATTACACGTATGCAATTCGATTTTTAACCAAAATTTATAAATTAAAACTCGTAATTTAATTGGTATATTATTAGATTTCTACTAAGTTCCTTATCATAATTTTATTCCTTCTACAAGAAAGTATGCATTAAAAATTAAACATTTATTTGGTTAAAGTTTAAACACGTCTATGCAAAATGAAAATTTATATTTATAAATTTAACTCTACTTTGTATAGAATGGCTTGATACAATCAAAGATTTCCAGCATATTCAAAAATATAGTCGTTGAGATAACTGTGTGTTCAAAAATATTTAAATATTTATATGAAAAATGCTAAAGTACATTTATTTACTGTAGGTAAACTGTATGTAGAAATGTATTATTGTTGTTAAATATATCTTTATTTTCAATACAAATGATGAGATTCTACGTAAACATCAGGAAAAAAAATATCTTTTCATCTCTATTACGAACATGTTTATTGATTCTGTTTTGTTTCTGGATTGCCTATACACTTTCAAATTTTCACGAACATGACACATCAAAAAAATTAGCAATATGACTTGGGAAGAAATTAAACCAAAGATCTCAGTGCCAATATTTTGTATACTCACACTCTGCACATTTCTAGCAGATATTCTAATTGACGAGAAAAAATAAGGAATATAAAGTAACAATAATAAGGTTTGTATAAATACGGTTGAATTTCTGACAGCAATTATTTTTGATATAAATAAAACGTATATCTTGATTCCATACTATCATAATTTTCAAGAAAAATGATTATTCAATTATAGTTTATATATTCATTTATATAATTCTAAACAGATATAAGTAATATCAACATATTTTAATATTTTCTACAGAAAGATAGTTATATTAATTAATTCTCTTTCCAAATTTTTATTTATCTTCGTGTTTTATATATATATATAATGGTATAATATTATGTACGTTTGCCATTTTAGCACATCCTAATATGATGGTAAATGAACAGAAAACAATCCGAGATGAACAAACATTTCAAAAAGAAATCGTTCTGAATAGATTATCATCGATAACTCTTCAACAAGCTCATAGAAACGTAATCCATGTCGAGTCAACAAACAAACATACCATCGAGAAAACGCTGAAAGAGACCACTGACATGTTCATCCAAAATTTAAACAAAATCTGTAAGACAGATGTTAAGGATAAAAAAGTAAGTAACATTATCGTGATACATGAATAATTTGTTAAAATTAATTTAAATTATATGTGTGTATATATATATATTTATATATTACGAGAAACATTTTAAGAATTGGAGTATACATTTTATATATTTTAAAATACGTGGTATATAAAAGTATAAATAAAATTCTATCAAAAAATCTGACACATTTGGATGATATACAATTTGTACACAAAATCTGAACTTGATATTTATTATTTTTCAGTTATTAGATCTCATCGAGCCTGAAACGCCTTTGAAACTTTCGTCGCCTAAAAACACGTCGTCGAAAATATCAAAAGACGAGATGCAGAATGCGGAAATGAAAGTTCCACCATTCACGCCGCTAGAAGCAGCCGCTATATCCTCCGTCCTCGAGAAGTGTTTAGATCAGCTTGCCATAATCGGATTCATGATACCAGCCAACGTCGATCCACGCTGGGATGACTCGTTCAAGACAATCGACGAGACCTACGGGGTGCCTGATGAACCTAGAATTATCTTCAGAGAAGACATGGGCCTGTTACCAATTGTACCCACGGAGGCTGAAAAATTGCAGAGGGAAAGGTGCGCAAAAATACACCCTCACATGTATTTTATAATACACCTATGCAAAAGTATACTCTACATTCTATTGCTTTGATATGACTTACAGATATATAAAATTCATTTTAAAAACATCACATGATCCCAGAAAGTAATACATTATTTCAAGATGCTTTTATAAGGACTTTGTATATGTTTAAATCTTTCGCGAAAATATTTTGATACGTTACTGTCCTAGTAATCCTACTTTAGAAACAAGAATCTTTGAAGAGAAAGATGCTCTTTGGACAATCGCGCTAATTTGCATTCGCTTCTCCAATAAATCTGCATTTAGGAACTACGTATGTGAAGTCTTAAAAAAAGTCCTTCACGAAATAAAGAATCATAGAACATTCGACAGTCTGCAAAAAGAGGTTGATAATATAGCGAAGAAACTTGAAGGCGAACGTAATCTTGAAGAAAGCGCCCAGATGTGGCTCAGCCAAGCTAAACAACTTCGAGAGCAACTGGAATCCGATAAAAAAGCGAACGAGGAAGACAGGAAAAGGACGATAAAACTTGCGCAGGAAAGCGACGCGCGAGTCGATCACGCGATATTCATAAATAGTGGAAAATTGGGTAATAAATAATCCATATATATGCGTTTCATAGTATTCTGATTGAGTACATTGCATTCAGGCTATGCGGAAAAATGGGCGAAAGCTAGATTGGAGCAGCAGGAACTCAAACTGAATCTACAAAACAGAGATATGCTGAACAAGCTGAGTGAATATTTAAAGGAGTACAATGCCGAGCAGGCTATTTCGACTGAAATATGTACTTACTTAGAAGCAGACATCAAAGAGAAAGAAGAGCAGATAGATATGTGGACAAAGAAATATAATGAGGAGATTGTGAAACGGCAGCAGGAAATCGATGAATTAGAGGTATATTCAAAAATTAATAAGGAATAGTTGAATAAATAAAACTAAATAACATAATCCGTACAGTATACATATATATTATATATATTTAACTAAAGATAAACATATTAACAAATAAAAGATAACAAACTTAACATACAAAAAATAAAAAGAAAAAAGAAAATCAATTGTTTAATATAATGATACTGATAAGCTTGAGTTTAATAATGAGTATCTTGATCCGCTGATAGAAACTAATAGAAGAACAAAAATTAGAAATAGAAGAAATGCCCGCTTTAATGGACAAACGGCAGAAATTTATCGACGAAAGCACCGTCGAGGAAAATAGATTAAAAGAAGAAGAGAAACTAAATAAAGCCGCAACTGTTATCCAATCGACATGGAGAGGTCACATGGTAAGGCAACAATTAGGAAAATACAAAGGTCTGTGGAAACGATTGCGGAAGATCCCGCCAAAAAAGAAAAGCCTGATGAAAAAAAGAGACAAAAAATATATCTAAGAAAAAAAGGACTTCAGTGTGTCTGAACAAACGACAGAGAGTTTGACATTTTATTACTAAAAAGAGTTTTACCGCTTTCTTTACATACTAATAATTAGAGATGCACCGGATCGTAAAATTACCTGATATTACCTGATATCGGACAAAATGTAACATCGGATATCCGAACGGATTCCGGGAAAATATCTTAAAAAAAAAAGCTTATAGAGAAAACATTGTAATTTTGCAACAATGTATAAGATATTATAGCATTATGAATATGCATACTTATTTTTAGAACATTTGTATAATAAAAAATCAACAATTTAATGATATCAAAATTCAACCTGATATATTCCCGGATACTAATGATATCCGACTATCCGGTCGGATAGTAAATAGTGCCGAATAATACCGGATACTTTCCGGTGCATCGCTACTAATAATGCCTTCGAAGTATCTGTATAAATTATTCAAATATATTTTTAAACAAATATCAGAAATACAGTATTTACATGAAGGTTTGACTCACACACATGCAAACATGACAAGCGCACAGCATTGTTCTACGCATCATTTGAACATTACCGAGTACGAATTCCGCGTAAGTAGTATAATGATATAAATATACCGGCTCAGTATCGTACTCGATAAAGGCATAACGTCTCTCGGGCTTATTCTCGATCTAATTATCGCACATTCTCAAGCTAAAAATGACAGCCGCTGAAGCAATCAGTGGCAGTGTGATGATCACTGTACATTCCCTACGTATTGTAACACGTGGGGAATAATCACGATTTTACCAGTAGTGTACAGGTTGGTATAATGCGATGATAATAAAATTACACGCGACGTTCATATGTGAATCGAAATAGGATTATACTCATCGCTCAATCTGCATGTACTAGAGAGTACTGTATTTATAAGTTTTTGCAATAGACGAACTAGTGCGAGCGATTAAATCTACCTTCGCGTCTTATCAGATACGTGCCGAGACAGTTTGCATTGCCCAACTTCGCGAGATGGCCACTGATCTGTTACGACACAATTCGCACACATAGGATCTCCCGAGTCCATTTAACGGGTTAAATACGTGCGATCTCCAACGACGAGGTAGCGAAATAAAATTCGGGCTAGAGCGAAGTGAAGATATCGTCGCGGACGAAGCGACGGGTGTGCGCATACATGCGCGCGTTAGAATTTGAGAATGGTAATTTTTCTATCATGACGAGATGACGGCGTGTTTAATTGAAGTGGAATTTAAACTGGAAGGGAGAACCGTGGAAGTGATGGAACTCCTGGAAGGGATTGAAACCCTGCTGGTGCCGGCCCGATTCCGGATCCAGAGGATCCTCGCCCTGATCGAATTTCGCCCTCTTCTCGTCGTCCGTAAGAACTTCCTTAGCAGCGGCGATGTCGATGAACTTCTTTTGCGCGCGTTTCTTTTCATCGCCCTCTTGGAAATTATCAGGGTGCCACTTTTGTGCTGCTTTCCGATAAGCCTTGATAATATCCCGTTTATTCGCCGTTCTTGGAACGCCTAAAATCTTATAATAATCTCGCGACTCTGATAACTTTTGCCGTTGTTGCGCTTTTTGCAGTCCCTGTTTGGCTCTTTGGAAGTTCGAATCTATCTCTAATGCTTCCTTGAAATCC